CCCCATCGGTTGTCGGTTCTTCGAGCTATATGGCCGGCCCACTGCCACTTCAGCTTACTAATCCGTTGGGCTATGTCGGTCACTCTGGTTCTACTGCGGATATCCTCATTCCTAAGTTTATCACGCAGAGAAACTCCGAGCATAGCCCTCTCCATAGCTCGCTGAGCGACCTTGAGCTTCCTCATACGGCCAGCAGTGAAGGACCACGTCAACGTACACCACCAAGTAAACGAAATTGTAACAAGGCATAATAAAAAATCAAAGACACCAGAGATTCTAGGGTGTTCTTCTCTGAGGATTTTTTTAATAATCTAGTGTAGATTTTTGACGTTTATAAGTGCTCTAAACAAAAGTAAATTGAAAAAAAAATATTTTTGTCATAGGTAAACATGTAGGTAAACACTTCATACTATATTTCCAAAAATTTATCACACAAGCAAACCCTTTTTTATTTAATATAAAAAATTGCTGAGTTATAGTGACATTATTGATGGACAGGATTTTTTTCACCCTCTCACAGTTAAAATAGAACAGAATCTGCCATGCTGCTCGTTGAAGAATTTCAAAAATGAAATATAATAAAATCATACCTTAGGCAATCAAAATCAGTTTGCTTTGCTTGATTGTACTACTACATTTTTGGTGAGCACTATGCACTGTCCTCAAGCTACTCTATATTATAGCATAAAGCTATATTTATTGTTTTTAGGAATACTACTAATCTATACAAATTAATAAAATTGAAGTGTCTGTTTGTAATGTCAAAATTACAGCTTTTTACTAAATGCATATGAAAGTATATACGGTACTAATAACAAATATACAATTTTTTAAGTTTTTGTCTGTCGGTCTGTCTGTCTGTCTGCCTGTATGTTCAGGCTAATCTCCGAAACGGCTGGACCGATTTTGATGGGATTTTCACTGGCAGATAGCTCATGTCACAAGGAGTAACTTAGGCTACTTTTATTTTAGAAAAGCAATTAGGGTTCCGCGCAACAAAAAAAAATCCAAATAACACGCGGGCGAAGTCGCGGGGACCAGCTAGTACTTTAATGAAATGGTTAACAACTATAGCAAAATCTCCCCTATGAGGCAATCTATGGGTAAGCCTATGTACAGTAGTGTTATTTTATGACTTGTAATGGATAATGGACTAAAGTTACAGCCTGTAACCATTCCACAGCTGGGCATACGCCTCATTCCTTCCCTTCCATTCCATTCTTTGCCTTAAAACCCACCAATTTCAGAGTTCTTCTATTCTTTACTTTATAACTAACTCATTTCATAGGAAACCTTATTTCAGAGGGTTTTTGGCAAGAAAATGTCCGCCAATTGCCTCAATACCTGTTGGCAGACTTCAGATGTCTTTGAAACATTTTTTATAATTTCTCGGATATGTAGGTTTCCTTACTACATTTTCTTTCACCGTAATAAGGAAACCTGCATGTCTGTAAATCAGCACTCAAAATTACAATTGACAATTTAATTGAAGCCAGCAAGGATAAAACCAGGCTTGCTCATGAGCTACAACGCTCTACTTAGAAATACTAAAAAAAATTGGTTACGGGTGTGATTTTATCTATGAACATTACAATATCTCCCTAAATATTGTAATGTTCATAGAGATTCAGAGACGAGCCAGTAGTTGCTACAAGAAATGATAAAATTATGTAAAATTGTATTTTTATATTAGAAAATCTGCACATATAATTTGATGAAATGAAAATTAAAGTGGTGGTAATTCAGGTGGTCATTATACAATTACATACATATTAAATAATATTAGTTTGTATTTGATAGTGATATGTTCTTGAGATATGCAAGAGGAAAAGTTAACTAAAATAATACGGTCAATATACACATAAAATACATATATTTAAAGACATGCAGAAATATGTAGAAAATATAGAAAATATGCAGAAATGTCATCATCATCATCATCATCACAGCCTCTCATAAGTCCACTGCTGAACATAGGCCTCCCCCAAAGAATGCCACAAAGCACGGTCCTGAGCCACCTGCATCCATAGACTTCCTGCATCCCTTATCAGGTCGTCACTCCATCTCGTGGGGGGTCGCCCTACACTTCGCCTACCGGTACGAGGCTGCCACTCGAGAACCTTTCTTCCCCATCGGTTGTCGGTTCTTCGAGCTATATGGCCGGCCCACTGCCACTTCAGCTTACTAATCCGTTGGGCTACGTCGGTTACTCTAGTTCTACTGCGGATATCCTCATTTCTAAGTATATCACGCAGAGAAACTCCGAGCATAGCGCTCTCCATAGCTTGCTGAGCAACCTTGAGCTTCCTCATGCAGCCAGCTGTGAAGGACCACGTCTCAGTTCCGTAAGTCATCACTGGCAACACGCACTGGTTGTACAATTTCGTTTTAAGGTTTTGAGGTATGTCTGACGAGAAAATGTGTCGTAGCTTCCCAAACGCTGCCCAGCCGAGTTGAATCCGTCGATTGACCTCTCGGTCGAAGTTGGACTTACCTAGTCGGACTATTTGTCGCAGGTAAACATACTCGTCAACAACTTCGAGCTTAGTGCTCCCAACAACTATCGGCATAGGTGTGACATGGACATTAAACATTATATTTGTTTTGTCCATGTTCATCTTAAGACCTATCCGTTGGGAGACACTATTGAGGTCATTGAGCATAGTGTTTAGATCCTCCAGCGATTCTGCCATAAGAACTATATCGTCGGCAAATCGAAGGTGAGTGATGTACTCGCCATTGATGTTGATACCGTATCCTTTCCAGTCCAGAAGCTTGAAAACGTCTTCCAATGCAGCGGTGAAGAGTTTTAGGGATATGACGTCACCCTGTCTTACGCCTCTCTGCAATTGGATAGGTTTCGTACTCTGGTTCTGTACTCGGATAGCCATCGTAGCTCTACTGTACAAACACTTCAACACTTCGATATACCGACAGTCAACTTGGCACCGCTGAAGGGACTGCAGCACCGCCCAAATTTCGACGGAATCAAAAGCTTTCTCATAGTCCACATACGCCAGACATAGTGGCAAATTGTACTCTTCGGACTTCTGTACAATTTGCCGAATTTGCCATGTATGTGGTCTATGGTACTAAAGCCCTTTTGGAAACCGGCTTGTTCGGGAGGCTGGAAGTCGTCAAGTCTGCGCGCGAGACGATTCGTAATGACTCTCGAAAACAGCACGTAGACGCGGCTCAGAAGGGAAATCGGTCTGTAGTTCTTCAAGAGAGCGTTGTCACCTTTCTTGAAGAACAAGACCACCGCACTTCTGTTTCACGCCTCTGGTGTAATGCCACCATGGAGGATGGAATTAAAGAGCTTCTGAAGGACTTCAAGTACCGGTCTTCCACCCGCTTTCAGAAGCTCCGCTGTAATTCCATCCTCGCCTGGGGCCTTACCGTTTTTAAGGTGCTGGAGAGCCATTTTAATCTCGCTCAGACTGACGTCCAGGATATCTTCGGAATAGTGTCGGATGAGACTCGCTCTTGGATTGTTACTCACACTTGCGTGTGGCTCCAACAATGACGTGTACAGCTGCCCATAGAACCTCTCAATCTCACTCAAAATCTCAGGTGTCCCGGAAACAATGCTGCCACATTCTGTCTTCAGCTTTGACAGTTGGCTCTTTCTGGCAGACAGATCTCTGGCAAAGACTTTGGAGCCTTGGTTCCGCTCGATCGCTTCTTCAATACGAGCTGTATTGAAGTTGCGTAAGTCCCGCCGCATGCATTTGGAGATCTGTCTGTTCAGATGCCTGTATGTTGTCAAGTCTGTTGAAGAAATGTAGAACTTCAAAATCTAAAAATAGCAAACAACCAATAACAACTAGGAAATTTAAAAATATTTTATTTTGATTACTATTCATAATCACTTGTAATTGAGACAAACAAGCACATCAGTCATCAGACAAGCAAATGATTACTCTATAAAACGTAAAGGCTTATTATAAAAATGCTACAACTTTATGCTGCTACAATTTTACTGGTATCTTTTAAATAGTTAAGTTTAAGTTAAGCTGACTTTCAATACCAAAAGTAATTCCCCTAAAATCTTTTAAATTTTTTTTTCTGCTTGAGTAGTGCTACCAACATTAGATTATTCATAGAAGAGAAACATTAGTTGATTTTTTATGGCATTTTACTAGATTGTCGTGAGGCGCCCGTAGAACCCGGTGGCGGACTTGTTTTTGTTTTGAGTACCATGGTCCCCTGTGGTGCTTGAGTGGTTAAGTAAGGAGGAGTGAGAGCCTCCATATTAATGACTACATATTATTAGACATAATAGTTCTCTGCAGTTGATAACTTCATAAACAGTTAAAGAACCACTTAACTTGGATCAAAAAAGGGGATTTTTCTACTTTCTAATCAGTTATTAATATCAAAGAACTGGGATATGAAATGTAATGTTTTGGTAACTAATAGAGTAGCAATTCTTAATATTAGAATAAAAACTTCACAAATAACTTCTATGTAATCAAAACATTACATTTTATACTCAGACCAACAAAGAAAAGACCAGAAAGACGGAGTCAAGTAACAGAAAAACCAAGCTAAAACCATGCTCAGCTTATGAAAGAACAAGCACTCACATGCGCATATGCACCTAAAATAATTTGCAACCAACAACATGTTTTAGAACCACAATATCAAGAAAATAATATCTACAAAAAAATATGGGCATTTAAATCGATGGTCCATATTGGAAATTTTATCCTGTGTATTATTTTACTTAATGGAACCAGCTTGGGTTTAAAAGTATTAAGTGGGTCACGAAGGTACAGTGTGAAAATTACCGGGCCATGGCAGAACAATGTTTGGGAAACACTGCCTTACACTATATGACCGGGGAACAATGTTATTTAAATTAATATAATAATATGTATTAAAAGCCCTCAAATAAAGTTATAAAATTAAATAAAAATAAAATTTAAAGTGAAAATAATCGGTGTAGGCACAAGTATGGGTAAGAAAATGTATAAATAAAATAAAATAAATTTTACCTTATGAGGCCACACATTTGGCATGCGAAATGCATATGTATCAACTTCATGAGCAAATACACATGAAATATAAACTAGAAGAGACGTTGCGAGAACAGGAAAAACCGCGATCTTCATATTTATAAGAAAATTACAGGTACTATGTAAATTTAAATATCGAAATTAAAGCACGATTTCCGTGTAGTGTTAAGCAAGTTCCAGCAGAAGACTGAATAGTTGCCGACACACCAATGCAGCAATGCACTCATCTAATAGTGATCAATACATGAAGCGGCAGGTATTTGTATTATTATTTTTCACGATAAACATCTGATCAATAATAACTAACGTCATTGTCTGAGTTGCCATATAAAACAAACAGTCCTCGGAATGCAGAAAATTTGTTTACTTTTCTATATTAAAATAATGTATTTAAAGTGTCTACAATATTTTTGTTTGAAGATTAATATTGCTAACAAAAATCATATAACGATTTATAAATTATCTATCTTATTAATAAAGTTTATAATAAAAGAAAGAAAAAGAAAAGAGAAATAAGTAGAATTTCATGCGCTAGTGATTAATAAATTATTGTTCAAGGTTTATGCAGCGTTTTCGTGTTTTCTTTTCATTAGGTGCAAGTAAAAGTTGAAATGTTATACAAGAAAAGAAAATATTCCTCTTAAGTTTATTTTCTGTGCATGAGTGTTAATGTTGTTTTTTTGTGGTTGTGCCAAAGTTTTATATATATTTATAACGTTAGTTAACTTTTATGTCACGAAGATTCTCTAACACGACGACAGTAATCCTTACAGACTATGGAATATGTTAAATGCCTGAACTCTCTAAACCTTTGCAAATTACGTAGTAAGTTGTATCCTCTTAGTAGTCTGTGGTAGTAAGTAACTTAAGTAGATAGTTATACTCAACCCAATATGGCCGATTGCCAGGTATTTACGATTCGATAATAAATAAACAAGTAAACGCTTTTTGTTTTTGATAATAACCTTTATTGATAATTTTTGGAGAAGATATTTAAAACAACGTTAAGAATTTTGTTTTTCGACTGGCAATATTTTGCGTTTCGTTTCATCATTTTAATCTGAGTAAATGTAAAATGTTTTACAATTTTATCAACCAACATTTTATAACTTTATCAGCCAACTATTTTTTACGACCGTGCATCCAACCTGAACAGTTTAAATCCAGTAGATTACAAATTAAATTAATTTTTATGATATATAATTCGTAGAAAATCTTACTGTGTCTTGGCCACTACTTAACTCTGTAGGTAACAGCCACGTAACAGCTAATACTATGCCGTATACTGATTCTAATGTTAGATGGCGCTGAACAGGGATCATTTTAATGACAGAGGTGGGTGGTAGATGGCAATAAAATATGTTAGTTTATTTTTAATATTAAAACATTAACTAGGCTTAAATGATAGAAATATAATTATTATTTATTTATATATTGACTTAAATACTAGAATAATAAAAGCAAAGGCAAAAGGTAAAACTGAGACAAAGACAAACACGTCGATTGTTATACACAATGTCTGATTCGATTATACGTTTAAGCGGTGGTTGATATGCTGACACTAGAGTGAGTGGCGGATGGCCCGAGAGGGCTACTTTACATATAAACACTTGTATGTTGGTTAACGGGAGAGCGTCGGGTGGTACGCAGTGCAAGGACCTTTTGTAGTAAACCAAGGCGCCGCCTGCACGGTTGGTCAACCTATTGTTTCTAACTAAGGTGTAGTTTGCAATCTTAAGATCGCGATGGCTAAGTTTCAAAAAAGTCTCTTGCACTAATATTACGTCTACATCGTGGTTGCCCAAGAAGAGCGCGATCTCGTCTTTTTGGTCCTAAGGCCGTTCTCGTTGAAGAACGCGATAGTTAGAGAGCGTGGTTTAGTTCTACCTAAAGGTATTTAGGCGCACTGGAAACACCAGATTGCGTCGATTAGCCCTATGTACTCAATTGTGGCGTTGAGCTTATCCTGTGGGGTAGTGGCTCCGCGTAATATGGTGGCCAAAGAGGATAATTCAGCAACGTTAATGTTGCTGATGAAGCCGCAGTCTAGAAATAAGTCAGCGGCGAAAGAAGTAGAGACTTGTGGGAATTTGCTAGGCCGCCCCGGCGACTGGGGCGGGCTTGGGACGATTTGAGGCTCGGAAGTGATTTAAGGCACCCAAGGCGATGCGTGTTTGGGGACAGGCAGCCGAGGGCGTGACACACTGGCTTGACCCACGAGCTCGGTGTCCCTCTTCACGGCAATCGACGCAGCTCGGGGGCTCAACCGTCTCGGGCGTGCAGGGGCAGTCAGTGGTGACGTAGTCACCTAAGCACTTGACGCATCTAGGCCTGGCGTAACACGTTTTGGCCGAGTGGCCGTACAATTGGCATCGGTGGCACTGGCCAATGATGCCCCTATTTCGGGGGGCTTCAACTGCAATTCCTGTGAGCTTGCAGATGCGCCGGACTTTAAAAATCTCCTTGCCTTCCGGCGACAGGTCCAGGATGACAAGGCACAAATCTAAAAATCGTTTGTTGTCGGTCTGGTGGTGCATTCTATGTCATATGTGTATCACAGACCGGGAGACTTTGGGCCCTTAGGTCGTCTAGAATGTGGACAGTCTCGAGCTCCTTGGGGAGGCCTCGGACGACCACGCGCAGGATACGTTCCTCAGGGAGGACGTACGTATGATAGCTGACTTGTTGGGCGCGCAAGTGATTTGTTACGCTGCGAAAATCGTCAGTCGTATTTACAAAAATTCGAATGTCCCGACCGGCGAGTTAGGCTCGGTTGCCTTTTTTGGGGCTGCGCGTTTGCACTTTTTGCCCTGGACGAGGGTCAAGCCTTCGTCTTCGGGCTTACGCGGGACACGCGAGTCGGTCTCCATCTCGGAGCCTGATTCGGCATCCGAGAAGATCGGAGAGGGGCAGCGGGTGGACAACGCGGAGGGCGCGGGAGACGCGGCGTCGTAAATTGTGTCTATGGACACAGGGGTTGTAGGTCCGATCATCGGCGACAGAGGGTCGTCGATTTGCACGGTCGGACGGTCGATAGGGGGCTAAACACGCTGCGTGGACGAGGCGGCTAGGGGCGCAGACTCGAGCGCTGGCTCGGGCGTGGGACGGGCTTTGCACTGTGCAATAAACACAGCCCAGACGTCGGGGCAGGCTTGGCTAAAACAGTCGGCTAGTTCATCCGTTGTAAACAACGCCATCTTGTTTACTAAGCTAACACAAGCACAGATGTGGACCAAACTCGGTGTGTGCCTAAAACGAACGCGCGTTGGTACGCTAGGGTGTGCATTACGGTGGGGTCGAAAAGGCTTTCCTCCGTTTCTATCCCTGTAGCGTTATTCGGAGCTGTTATTCAGAGGCTGTGACCGACACTGCCACGAATTTTGCGGCCACATCCGCAGCGCTCGGGGGCTTGGCCCTTCTCTTTCTTCCCCCTTCCGGTGGGGTGGATCTAAGTGAAGCAAACGAGCCGTCGCACCCACCTCCATTGCTTTCAATAGCCTGATATTAAGGAGTTTAGGACGCCCACGTTTGTATTGTGTCGTCACAATTCTACCCCCCGACACGGCTCCAGTCTTCATACTCTGCCCCGTGGATGTGGGGCCCCCCTCATACAATGGGGCTGCCACAGCGCCTATGAAGGTTACTGGGGATGGGCTCCCCGTAATGGATCGGCGGTGGCATTAGTCTGTTGCCTAATGCAACGAGCAACACAAGAATTAAAAACTATTGCCGCCTCTAAGGCGGCAGGTGTGTTTCACTCTACTTACGGTTACCGATACCAGGAAGCCAGGAAGAAGAGTTAGGCACAAACACACTTTGCACCACAACAAGCGTCCGATACACTTCTTTCTTGTCAAAGATCAAAATCATTGTCAAAGCGTAGTCAGGCTCCACACACTGTACACGCAATATGTGGCAACACGTGTATAGTGGGTTTGGAAGGGCATCGTTTATTATAAGCTTTTTCCGCCGGACAAAACCATCGATTTGGATCTCTACTCATCATCATCATTATTACAGCCTATCACAAGTCCACTGCTGAACATAGGCCTCCCCCAAGGAATGCCACAAAGTACGGTCCAAAGTCACCTGCATCCATCGACTTCCTGCATCCTATCCTCCATTTAGTGGGGGGACGCTCTAAACTTCGTCCGACGGTACGAGGCCAGCACTTAAGAACATTTTTTCCCCATCGGTTGTCGGTTCTTCGAGCTATATTGCCGGCCCATTGCCACTTTAGCTTACTAATCCGTTGGGCTATGTCAGTCACTCTGGTTCTACTGCTGATATCCTCATTTCTAAGTTTATCAAGCAGAGAAACATATAGCATAGCCCTCTCTATAGTTCGCTGAGCGACCTTGAGCTTCCTCATACGGCCAGCAGTGAAGGACCACGTCTCAGTTCCATAGGTCATCACTGGCAACACGCACTGGTTGTACAGTCTCGTTTTCAAGTTTTGAGGTATACCTGACTAGAACTTGTGCCGTAATTTCCCGAACGCTGCCCAGCCGAGTTGAATCTGTCGATTGACCTCTCGGTCGAAGTTGGATTTACCTAGTCGAACTATTTATCCCAGGTAAACGTACTCGTCAACAACTTCGATCTTAGTGCTCCCTACAACTACCGGAATAGGTGTGACAAGGACGTTATACATGAGTTTTTTTATCCATGTTCATCTTAAGACCTATCCGTAGGGAGACACTATTGAGGTCATTGAGCTTAGTGCTTAGGTCCTCTAGCGATTCTACCATAAGGACTATATCCTCGGCGAATTGGAGGTGAGTAATATTCTCACCGTTGATGTTAATACCGTATCTTTTCCAGTCCAGTAGCTTGAAAACATCTTCAAATGCAGCGGTGAAGAGTTTCGGGGATATAACGTTACCCTGTTTAGGTGTATCTTTGCAGTTGGATAGTATTCGTACTCTGGTTCTATACCCGGATAGCTATCGTAGCCCTACTGTACAAACACTTTAGCACTTCGATATACTGACAGTCAACTTGGAACCGCTGAAGGGACTGCAGCATCGTCCAAATTTCGACGGAATCAAAGGCTTTCTCATAGTCCACATACGCCAGCCAAGGGTATGTTTGTG